TCTAAAATTAGATATAAAAAAATACGTGGCCTAATATTTATATTTTGCCATTACAATATTATTATACACGTACATGATGGTTTCCTATAATAATATGTCTCAGTAGCTTACAGGAGTACCTTGGGATTCGGTTATTGTAAAATCAATAACGTTCGTTAAAAATATATTTTATCTGGTGTATAACATATTGGCCTGCAATAACAAATTTGGGTCACTTCATTTTCTATGCTGCAGCGGCGATTAGAGCCTGCGCATGTTGCAGATGGAATACTGCGCAAGTTCACAATATGTTTAACTGCATCGCGTCGTCTCAGGTCCAAACAAATCGTCGTCACTCCTGAACTCCTTACCCTACAGTCCACAGCCGTGATTTTTTTTCAATTATTTCCTTCGTGATAATCAATAACCATAATAATATAATATAGTGGTCCCCTCGTCCGACTTCTTAATCCAACGGTATGGTGTAGGTATTATTAGAAATACAGAAAATGAATTCGTACCTTATATACATTTAAAATCTCATAATTTATAACAATAACTACTAACAGTGTACCTGGCATAAATAGTATTATGATACACGTTGTTACGAAACACTATGTACAATAAAATACAAATAGGTGATTATAATCGTTAAAAAAAAAACTATCTACTATCTCGTCTTTGTCACTATAAAGTATAATATTATGATGATTCCCGTTTGGCAGAAAGTTATTTAGCGAAAACTTTATAAATAATAATTAAAGTATAATCGTTACTAAACACGACGAAAGTAGATTGTAGATACGGGAACCTAGTATATATATAGGTACCTCCTACCAACCTTAGATATTGTAGTTCGTACGTTTTAAGAATTATAATATTAATTCACAAACTATAATTTATATACCTAACTATGAGGATTTAAAAAAAAATTTAAAAAATAATATTATCATTAGAAATTCGTAATTTACACGAACGGTTAAAATACGATGGCGAGGTCATATCAATAATAATTGGGCATTAGGTAAACCAATATAAAACGTTCATGCAAAATAAATATAAGTAATTTAGTAATACCTACATGGTTACACGTCATGTAGGTACTAGGTACCTATATATCGGACGTATAACTACGAGTTTGCGGCAGTATTTGGTTTCACGATTTTTGAGATTTCATCACGAAACGTATATGTTATATATTATATTTTTACCTCGTGTTAGGTATATATTGTAAGTCCTATTTATCCGTACCTATACAGTTGTTATTATACATTTGAATTGTGTATACGCATAGAAAACACGACTCGCGGGCATTTCGACTTTTTGATCTCTGCAATGTCAATTAAAGAAATCATTGTATGTGATCGACGTTCCACCTATATAATATTATTATAATATAATATCGTGGTAATAAAGGAGGCAATAGGATTTAGGTGTACCGTTTACAATTTTTCGACACAATGATCTTTCAACACAATGTCTGATTCGTACTGCAACAGAGACTTGGAATAATATTTTAAATTATACAATTTTTTTTAGTAATTATTAAGTGCATTATGTCCTTTTTAGATTCTGAGCGGAGAAATTAATGTATTGATTATACAAGTATGTAAGTATGTGTTGTTTTTTTTTTGGGTGTATATGCATATACATCATATATTACGTCTAAGTAGTCGAAATAATGATTTGATTTTCAACACGACAATTCCCAGTTATTTTCAAGGGTCGAGAAACACAAAAAAAAATTTCAGGAAAAACAGACATTTTTACGCAAAACTAGTTTTTGACGAAATCATTATTAATTTTTTTTTAAAACAAGGTTTCTTATAAGTTGTTCACATACCATTTAAAAATGTCTAAAATACATAGTCACATTATTTTTAGTAAGCGTTATTTGCCTATTAGTATTTAACAAAAATCGTCAATATCGCCATAATTTGCAAATTATTTGGTAGTTTGAAATTCATAAAAAATTTTCTTCCTATATGTAATATTTGAAAATTTATTCAAGATTTCTCGTAAGTTTTTCTACCTTTAACATGAAAAAAAGTTTTCTGGAAAGTCAAATTAATTTTTTAAGTGCTTTTGAAGTTCAAATATTTACAACATTATATATTCCCCCTTAAATTCACGATTTTATTATTTTTTATAATTCAAAAACAAAAAACGTAGATACTCGAAAATTTCACCAAGTGTTTATTTTATTATTTTATAATTTTATATATATGACAACATTTTCAAAATACTTTCACATTTTTTGAGTTATTTATAGACATTAAAAATTTATTTTAGTTTTTTTCCTATTATTATAGATAATTAATTTTTGCTTAGCCAAATAACTTGAAAATTCAATACAAGGTTTTCCCCTTAAAGTTTTTTTAATAGAAATAAAAAAAAATTCTATATACATATGCAATATACATTTAATAAGCCTATTTTTATAATTTTATCAAAATCATAAAAATTGGCAAGTTATTTTATATTTAAAAATGTATACAATTTTCAATTATTATACCTAATGAATGAAAATTAAAAACAAGGTTTTTCATAAGTTATTCATGCTGCAAACATAAAATCTAAAAAATATATTAACACGGTCTTTTTTAATAAATATTTAAGTTCAAATTTGGACGAAATAACATTTAAACCGAGAATAACGATAATAGTTATTTTAATTTAAAAAATATTATTCTAGTATAGGCCGACTAAACGTTTTCACTCAAAATCATTTTTGAAATCATATCATTGAATTCAAATTTAACACAGCCCATCCATTACAGTGACCCACTCAACACCTACAGAACCGCAGAGCGGTACCCACTTGTACACCTTTTTAAAATTACAAATAGGTATATTTGATGACGTAGGTATCAGTGTTTTGAATATAATATTACTGCAGTACGAATCAACAACTACCGATAGATATTTTTACATAAATAACTAAAAATAACTACAGTTTTCGTATTATGTATATTACTTGAGATCGATTGATATTCAAATATAATAATATAGAAAACGAATCCCCGTGATAATAGATTGACATGTTTTCGTTTAATTTGTAGTCATTTCGTTTTGGAGTCGAGAATAAAATGTGAACAGTTTTTGAACGTAACTGTAACATTTATGGAATACAAAATATTAGTTTTACACACAGTTTTGCAGTAGTGAAACGTTATCATAATTTTCAACTTTGATGTTATTATTATCGGAGCAGGAGTCGCGTGCGGTCAGTAGTTGTACCCAATATCTACGCGCGCGTGCACCTCGATAAAAGTCGAAACACTCGGCGCGCGCGATCGACATCATCATTGCGCCTGGCCGTACGCGGCGGGTACGGCGCATGTGCTCTCCCCTGCATATTATACGCTCGACGCCGCCGCCGCCGCGGTGCCCGTTTGTTTCCGTAATTCGCCCGAGACGAGGCGTCCGACGTTCGCCTCGGAGCTCTCTTGTTTGTTTATTTTTTTGTTTTTTTTTTTTTACAATTTTTTTTTATCCCAGTCGTAAAAAAATATACATATATACGTCTGAAACAATTAATTCAAACGAATAAACAAAAAAAAAAAAATCAACGCAAAAAAAAATCAAACATTTCAAAAACCGCCATACAGGAAACAGGAATAAATATTGGACTATTGTTGTACACCGTGTGATATATAATATTATTAATATTCACCACTGCAGAAACCGTAAGCTATATAATATTTTATGTTGTTATGGATTTATCGCTGTGGTGAGCGTCTTAAAAACGGCCGTACTTGAAGAAGTATAGGTAAGTCGGCCGGGGTGTGTGTATATATATATATATATATATATATATATATATATATACGTATATGTGAAGACTGCGTAGACGTCCAACACCCACCTAAACATACCGCGATGTAATGAAGACTGTGAAACGAAAAGCGCCATTATAACTTTAAGTGAGTATCTTTTAATCATATCGTATGGTTGTAGTATGGTGTTATTATTGTATTGTGTTGAAAACAACAACAATTACATTTAAATATTTATATGGCAATTATTATTTTTATTAGTGTGGTTCGAAGGCGATATTTAATAATCAATATTTGTTTTCCTATATTCTTCTTCTCGTTCTACTTTTACAATCGTATACTGCGGCTGCGACGGGCTGTGGGCGACGACAATTTTTCCGCGAAATACAATATTATTGTAATATTATTATCTCTGGGCTTGGTCGATATTGCGGCGTGCAGACGATATTGTTACCTACGTGGTATACGATCGAATCGCCACGAATTTCCGGGGGGCGCCCACATAATTCTTTTCCCGTAAAGTAAACAATACTATCGTGTCCGTTTCGGTTTGATCGTGAAAATCCGTGGGGTCGTACCTATCGCGTGCCACGATATCGCCGGTGGGGTAAGCCGAAAAAGTGTAAGCGCCCGTATCCGCGTATAACGGCGATAATAACAATATAAGTAATAATAATATTATAACGACCGTACTTAACGTGACGTTTTGTAAATTAAAAATTATATACTTTTTATTAGGTACTGTGTAACAAGTTATTATTACGTAAGCGTTTCGCGGGTTGTATTTTAGAACACACTCCGCGGCGGGCTGGCGGGCGGGCGGGTGGCGGCGCGGCGGGATCGCGTGCGAAGGGATTTCCGTGGTTTCCGTCGTGCGCGGAACGGCGGGCCAGAGGGAGGGATCAATACGTGCGAAGAGGGAACCGGCGGCGGCGGCGGCGGCGGTGACGTCAAGTCACGCGCTTCCCGTGACGTCATGATATACCGACGCCGCCGTGACCCGGTCACCGGGATGAATAATGATCGGCGCAGACGACGGCCGTTTTTACCGTGCGTGCGTGTACTATCATGTACCTGCACGCTTTAAATGTCAGGTAGTTGTGGTCGCTGTTCGCCGCCGCCGCCGCTCGGCCGTTCGCCATTGTATGACGCGTATACCAAACGTATGGTAATACGTGGTAACGGTATCCTTTCGCCGCGCGCGGTTGCAGACGTGGTTCGGTGGCGAGCCGGGCCGGGGCCATGGACAGGGCCGACCGTCTAGCCCGGAGCTTGGAATTGGAGAAGGCCTACGTTCACGACACTTACCAGGAGATGTACCAGCCCGCACATAAGACCAAACCGTGGCCGAAGGTGACGCAGTTCCTGCACGACTTGGAGCCCGGATCACTCGTGTGCGACATCGGTGAGTATGTTATTATACAGGTAGGTTACCAATGTAGGTAGGTTCCTACTACCTAGGACAGACAAAATATATTATGAATTATACGGCTACAAAATATGTACTGTCAATAATATATACTGCACCAAAATGTTGGGGTGTACGTGACGGTTTTTTTTTACATTGCTTTTATACCGTCTAATTTCGTAAGCAATTTAAATTATATTATTTTAAAATTTAAGCATTATATATCACGATTTAGAGCCCCAAAACTGTATATAGTTGTGTACAGGCTACAGATGTACAGTGTTATAGATTTTATGTATTGGGTACCACCGTCGAATTATTTATAACGAATTGTGGTAAAAAGTGCATAGAAGTATACCTGCTTACGTTACGCGTACCTACCTGTAAGCGTACAGAGTCAAAAATTATCAAAAAAAATATTTTTATTATATTCTTTTTTAAATTGTATTCCACGTGAAAGTTTGCTTGCGGTATCGTTTCTAACGATTGAAAAAATACTTTGATACGCTCCGTACGACCTACAAACACTGTATAGTACTAAAGTATATACTATATAGTTTAAGATTAATAGGATTAATATTATATAAGCTGGGCTTGTTTTAACGATAAATTTAATTAACTTCTGAGATTAAATTAACTAGAATACTATGCAAATCCTAACATTTAAAAGTTATAATGTATTCATAGTTCATATATACATATTATAGGATCACGAGAGTCGTGAGACGTGATTTTGCTATACTTATAGTGTCAAAAATTTTAAATTTTCGAGCGACGTGTCTTTATAAATAACTTTTATTTAACAAACGAAAATAATATGTTTTATTGTTAAATAAAGTTAATTAATTTAAGTTGCAAAATATTTTAAGACCCTCTAAGTCATTTACCTGCACAGATGAAATTATTCTACAACAGTGCCGTATCTAAGCCTTTGTTGACGACTTTGGAATAATAGAATTTTTACATCTTTGTGATATACCTATATATATTTGTATAAGATGAAATATACAAAATGTTAATGTTTGATAATAATAGCTTACTTGCAAAAGTAGGTAGGTAACAAATAAATTATTAAGTATAATATTAAATTCTTTATATTTGGTCTTGCGAAATCTCAGAAACCAAGTTGAGAAGCAACAGGTCCATAGTTATGGGGTTCACAGGGGGTATTCATTTTAAAACTAGCATACCTCATAAATGTACGCTGAACCCTTTCAAGCCTAAGAGAGTTATTGATGTCATGAGGATCCCAAATAACGGAACCATACTCAACAATAAGGCGAACAAGTGCACAACAAAGCACCTTAAAGGATAAGCCTAACCGAAAGTCCTTACATAATCTTAATACAAACCCCAGAGTTTTAAAAGCATTACAGCAAGTATGTGGGATCTCGGATTAAGATCACTATTAAGAATAAATCCTAGATCAGTTACACGAACATTAGAGCATGGGATAGCAGTAGGTCCGAGATGATATACGTATATGACAGAGGACTGAATTCCGGAAAATCGTGGTCTTACATTTAGAAACATTAAGGGTTAACCCTAGTAAATTAAACCACTCAGTGAACCGATCAAAATCACTCGGTAACAAAATACAGTCATCCGAGGAGGATATACGAGAGTAGAGCTTAATATCATCTGTAAAACATAAAATACTGCTATTGGAAAAAAAACTTGATACACTATTAATGAATAGAGAGAACAGGAGCGGAGATAGGTGTTTAACAAGGTAATCAACAGGTTATGGGCCCCAGACATGGCTAGGAGAACCGATGACAAATATGGAATAACTCAATTTGCTGGAGCTTATTTTCCAAGTTGGAAATTTAGAGTAGAAACACTACTTGAAGAATTTGGAGTAAGAGCATGCCTTACAGGAAATGAGCCTAGTTCAACTTAAATGGTAGAGTTGGAAAAGTGGCAAAAGGATGACAAGAAGTGCAAGTCTCTAATTGTTCAATGCGTTGCTGACAGTCATTTGGAGTATGTAATGGGCAAAGAAACTGCGAGGGAAATCTGGGACTCGCTAGTTCAGACTTTTGCACGTAAGGGTATTGCTAGTCAACTATATCTAAGACGATGACTACTTACGCTAAAATTTGAAAATTACAATAACCTTGAAGCTTGTTTTATAAAATTTGATGAACTCATAAGACAGTTGAAGACAGCTGGAGCAAAACATAAAATTAAGTCCATAAGCCAATGGAAATAATAACCCAGCACAAGAACATTGTAAAGAAAAAGAAAAACTCCGACATGGCATAAGGATTATGGCATGTCAATGATGGCACTTTCTGCTGAATGCTATGTTCAAGATTTACCAGAAACAGTTGAAGAAATCAAAGCTCACCCAGATCATATTCAGTGGAAGGCAGCTATGGAAGAAGAAATCAGGGCCCTGAATGAGAATAAAGCCTGGGTCACACGATGATAATAAAACACGGGCCCTGTCATGCCAGAAGTCACCACCTTCATCCACTCACTTCGTCCACCCCCACAATCTGTTTGTCACACATCACCTGGCATCGTTCGACAAATAATCAACCGAATCCGAAAACGCAAAGCTCCTGGCGCAGACTCCGTCACTAACATAGCCATCAAACTCCTACCCAGGAAATTAGTCTTGCTCCTCACCCACATCTTTAACGGATGCCTAAGAATTTGCCACTTCCCTAAGTCTTGGAAGCATGCTATTATCATCACTATCCCCAAACCGGGAAAATATCACCGACATCCAGTCAACTACCACCCTATTGCGCTGCTACCCTCCCTCTCAAAAATCTTTGAACACGTTGTTTTGGCGAAACTAAACGCTGCGATTGGTCTTAAAATCAGAAATGAACAATTCGCTTTCCACCCTCAGCATTCCACAACTCATCAACTTGTCGACCTAATTGACCAATTGGTAGCAAACTCGAACAGCAAATTGCGCACAGCCGCCGTCTTTCTGGACGTCGAAAAAGCTTTCGACCGAGTCTGGCACGCAGGCTTACTATACAAGCTCCATACCTTAGGCACACCTACACCACTGCTAAATATAATTAACTCATTCCTTACAGACCGTACCTTCTCGGTAAGACTAAACAACACTATATATAGCAGCAGACCGGTCCTTTCAGGTGTACCGCAAGGCTCTTGTCTCTCGCCGACACTCTACTTGGCCTACACTAACGATGTCCCCCTCAATCAAAACACCCAGCTTTACCTATTCGCCGATGATACTATGTTCACCACCTCGAACAAAAACCCAAAAATAGCAGCCATACAACTGCAAAAGCAATTAAACGAAACACTAGCCTGGTGCAATAAATGGCGTCTCAACATCAATGCCCAAAAAACGGTTGCGGTCATGTTCAACGGCCCCAACAATTTCACTTCACACCACCTGAACCTAAACGGTCACCAAATCCCCTGGTCTCCTACATCTAACTACCTCGGCGTAACCCTTGATCAAAATCTTTCATTCTCAGCACACATCAAGTCTACTATCGAGAAAGCCACCGCCGTCCGTGGCATGCTGTACCCGATCCTAAACCGCACCAGCCCTATTCCCATTATAACAAAACTTAATATTCTGCAAATGTATATTAAACCTATTCTATCATACGCCGGCCCGGCGTGGGGACCACTAATATCTAAAGCAAATTGGCGCAAACTCGAAGCCGTCCAAAATATCGGCCTCCGTACAATCACATCCTCCCCATGGTTTGTATTAAATAAATTAATCCACTCTTCAACTCGTACCTCTACCGTCAAGCAATCAATAATAACTAACAGCAAGAACCTATTTCACCGCAACTCAAATTCTACTTTCGATCACATCCGCAGTCTTGGAAAATCCACATCAGCTACCGACCCAACCTCAAAAACCATAAAACCACGCCCCTTTCCATGGTCTAACTCTAACTAAATAAAATCACACACCACATCTCACTCAACTTGTCATAGGCAAACGCCTGGAACGAGTATATAGGCACATCGCCGTCACACAAGCAATGTAATGCAATGATAATAAAACACCAAAGTTTCTTGATAGTTTTCGCGACAACGTACTGTTACCGTACGAACTCCAGGATAGTTACTATCACACTATCTACTATCAACTATCATGCATGTTAGTTGTATCAAGATAGTAACTATCGCGTTTCTCTATCATCGTGCGACCGTGGCTGTAGACATGAAGATTAGTTAAACGACTGCCCAACAAAAAAGTTATTAACAACAAGTGGGTCTTTAAAGTTAAAACTGATGAACAAGGTAATGTTACACGATTTAAAGCAAAACTTGTTTTCAAAGGCTGTTCTGAATGGAATAGTCGAAGAAGAATTGTACATGAGACAACCGAATAATTTTGAGAAAGGAGAAAACTTGGTATGTAAATTAAATAAAACATTATATGGCTTGAAAGAAGCTCCTTATTATTGGAATAAAAGATTTAATCAATTAATCGAAGGTCAAGGATTAGTAAGTGAATTAGTTTAGTTAGTAATGTATGTTTATGTTTACTATTGTATGTGAATGATGTTTTACTAGTGAGAAACTCTATGAAGTCACTAGATGACTTAAAAAGAAAACTGAAAGAAGAATTTAAATTAACCGATCAAGGAGAATCAAAATCGTTTCTAGGTATTAAAATAGAACGTAGGTACTGAAAAAACTTTGAGGATTAGTCAAACTCGTTATTTATAAAAGTTGCTGGAGAAATTTCTAATGGAAGACTAAAAGAAAATATCGACACTTATGGAAACCAAATTGAACACAGAAAATGGAAAGTCAACCAATGAACGTTATTGCGAGTTAATTGGCTGTCTTATATATGCTATGATTCAAACAATACCAGATTGCTTTTGCAGTTAATCTATTTAGTCGATATCAGTCTCAATCGAAAGGCAGCTTGTACAAATCAACTTGAAAGAGTATTACTCTATGTGTATACTGATATGTATACTGTATACTCTTATCTATACAAAAGGTGAAAGAGTAAGCCCATTTAGGAGATTTTTTGATGCAGATTTCGCTAATGATATCAACGACAAGAAATCTATCTCTGGATACTTATTTCAAATATATGAATCTAAAGTTTGCTGGTATACAAGAAAGCAATGAACAGTAGCACTTTCTTCAACAATTTCGATGAATTGTGTCAGATTTAAAATTTTACCCGTACATGTATTCCTGGTTCTAAAACCAGCCTGTTCTCATATCCGTTTTTTTATTTGGCAAATAAGGTGGTTGACTATCATTATTTCGTCCAATTTATAAGTATGACAGAGCAAAGTTCCTGGCCAGTACATTTTATGGCCAGACGCCTCTAACCAGGGCTTTAATATGGCTATACTATCATGGCTTTACATTATATTTTTGGTTATTTTTTCATTGAGTATCAATTATATTTCACAACTAACTGCTAGCAAATTATGAATTAGTCATAGTGAGCTAACTATACCGAAATATTTGGGTGGGACGTGATGTGCGCACGAATACCAAAAGAAAAACTTGTTAGCTCACAAAACTACCTCAACACAATAATACTTTGAAATTAATTATTCATAATTATTATTATAATCATAATGAAATTCAATATTAGGAGTATTTATTAACATTTAATATCAACTAAAATTTGTAAATGTTGTTTTAAATTTTAGGTTGTGGTACAGGAAAATATTTATCGACCAACCCACATGTGTTCAAAGTAGGCGTTGATCGTTGCCTGAGGTTAACTGAAATAGCTAGAAGTCGAGACAGCGAAGTAAATATTATACTTTTTACCAGGGCTTGAAACCGCTCCCAATAATTCTGGTTACCGGGTTCAGTAGGACCCGGAAAATTTTTCGGTACCGGTTACCGGTTTTCGGGGTTTTTAGAATTAGCGGTAATCGATTCCAGGTTACCAAAATAACTTCTATAAATTGGGTTACCGGTTATCTGTTTATCATCAAAATTACCGGTTACTACTTTGAAACCGGTTTTTCATTTTTTTTTTTTTTTTTTTTTAATAGTTGATTTTCTTTAAACATAACAAACCACCTTTGAAACCATTTATGCATGTTGTTGTGGTTCGACAGTAGGGGTAAGAAGAGGCATAAAAGATAAAAGTATAAAAAAAAAGAAAATACTACATGATTACAAAGTAGTACCTATACGGCTATACTTATACATTTTAATTTATATCTTTTTTCTTTGAGATACATAAAAAAGTAAGAACTTAAAAATATAAAATAAATGATAACAAATTGATAAACATGAAAAAATTAAAATACAAAACATTTTATCATAATCAAAGTTCAAGATAGTGTGGCTTGCTGAGTACTGAATATTTCTGGTGAGTGGTGATTGGCATACCTCCACAATTGTGACAACTTGGTTCATAGATAAGAATACTAAGTTATGACTTGGTTATTAAAATTTACTATTATCAGTATTATGTTTAAAATGTTAATTTATTAAAAAAATTAAAAAGTAATAACAACTTAGTTAAATAATTAATATTTTCTTTATTTGTTAGACAAGTTATTTCCTCGTATAATCATTATACTTTCCAGTAGATCAGGCGATAATGAAGTACGCAAATCACTCAAAATAAATTTGAGTCCTGAGAAACTCCTTTCCACTGAGACCTTTTTAAAAATTAAAAATTTAACAAAATTAATTTACAAAACTAAATACTAATTTTAATTATAAATTATTATGTTTACATAATTATAGGAGATATATTTATTAATTTATATTTTATATTTACCTGGGTGCATGGTACAGCCATTACAACTTGTGAAAGTTTGTAAAGTTCAGGCATAGACTCGTGATGTTCAGACCAATAGTTTTTGATATCAGTACTATGATGCAATCTCGGAGTATTATCATATTCTTCCAACAGTTCCAACAGTATTGCAACAGAACGTTGACTAGAGTTCATATTTATCGACATATTATTAGCACTGTTTTGAGAAGATGACTGGATAAATGATTCAAGATCATCATCTGGATCCATAACATTCTCTTCGTGTGCATCAAAATATTGAGCATTATTAATATTTGCTTCATTTTCATTTCCCGTCAACTGTTCAATTATTTTCCAAGTTTTTTGTAAATGATCCTTTGCTTCTATTTAACTTGTATCATTTAGCAAACACTGAAACCTTGGATCCATAAATAGTGCTATAAACAAAAATAATAGTATATAATATATTAATATACCTAGGTATTATACTATTATGTATCAATATGTATTATTTTTGTTTTCATGAAATAATAATTAATTTTAATAAATTAATAAGTAATTATTATACCTGAGCTGAATATTGGATTTTCAAATAAAGCTTTTTGTCGCTTTTCCATTGACTTTGCTATAGAGTTAGATAATGCTGTATTTTTTTTTTTTAATTTTGAAATAATTTTCCACCAGCAACCAAAGAAATCTCCCATTGTAATATCATGTTTTTGAAGAAAAATTATTCCATCTCTAGCAGGTTGAAGTGAATCAATCTATCAATTACAAAATAATAAAAATATTTTAGTATAGTAACATATAGTATTATCGTATATCTGGTATATACTTAATTGTAATATTAATATATTGTGGTAGTTTTTATTTTTAATATAAAGAATAAAAGAATAATTACCATATCCTTAAGTGCTTCCCAATCATTAACTGATAACTTAAGCTCAGGCATCGCATCTTGATATTCTATACAAAAAGGTTTAATTTCATGTAGCCTTTGTAGCATGTCATACATTGATGTCCACCGTGTTTCAACGTCAATTATCGCATACTTTAAGCCCATTTTTTTTAAAATACATGTATATTTTTGAGTTCGAATTTTTTTTACAACCTAAATTATAACAGTTCTATTATAATATACTTTTTGGTTGTAACTTGTATTCTGGTTATTATAAAAATAAATAATATTCTTTATGATTTATGAATAATCAATAAATTAAAAAATATAATTTGTATAAAATTGATGTCCTTACACTTCTGATGCGACCAATAAGATTTTGTAATAATCTAATTTTCAATCCATCTCACTTTTTTTGTAAGAGGTTCAGGTTCAATTGTTTGAATCACATTACTTTCAAATTCCTCAATTTCATCGTTTGGTGCCATAACAAAATCGTCATCTTCATTGATAATGTAACAAAAATTAAAATATTACTTAAGTTTTAAATTTGAAGTATTTAGTATATACACTTTTGCATCTCCCTTCTAATTTTTCCCAATTCAAATAATGCATAAAATAATACCTAGCCACCTAGGTATAAAATATTAAAATATAAACAAACCATTCTCTGTAGAATCACTAGGATCATCAATGATATCAGTCATTTTCAATATGTTGGCAGCATTATCACTGGTAATAGAAAATATTTGTAATTTGTGTCTTAGTTATACCATACTTATCCAAAACATTTAATACCTGTAAGCAATAAAAAAATAAAAAAATATTTTTAAACTATTTTTAAAATATTTCAAATAAATTAATAATAGGTACAAAACCATTAATTAGTAAATCAAAATTAAAATGATTTTATTACAATTAATGATTTTAAACTCTAATTTTAATATTTTATAGTAGGTACCTACCATATTACCATTTCTTTTAAGTATAAGCACTGTGTCGCTCCATCAATTCAGTGATTGCTAAGGTTTTCAACTGTAAAACATTATTTTGCATATATTGTTTGTTGATTCCTATAAAAGATCTATTATGTCTTGTTACACAATCTACCTTCAAACTGATTAACCGATTAGCTACATCAGTTGCTATAGTTTTTACTATGAGTTGTGCTTTGTCTATAATATGACTTTTTATGTTATGGGAGTTAATTGAAAATCCTATAGGATAAAAATAATTGGTTAGGCAGATATAGATAAAGAATTCAATTTAAATTTTAAATTACTAATTTTTATTTGTTAATTAAGAATTAAGTAAATATTTACCTGTTTCTGGCAATCCTTCTATGATAGGATTTAGCAACTTTCTAAATCCTGAATCATGGAGGATAGTAAATGGTCGGATAAAGAAATCTTTATACTTTTTTTGTAACTTTAATCATACTATCCAACGACATTTGTCCTGCAGTTCTCTGGTCATAACAATTAAATATAAAAATATATTAATAATAAATTAAATAGTAAATACTGGTTTTAAAAGGTAAATAATAAATTACTAGAAAACAAGAAAATTCAAATAAAAAAAGGTGGGTAAGTGGATGTCGCTCTGCTGTAGTGTAGGTTACAAGTGGGTCACTGTATAATGGATGGTATTAAATTTGAATGCAATGATATAATATCATTGTATAAGAAAAACGATTCTGAGCGGAGACGGTATGTCAGTCTAGGTATAAGACATATTATATACTTTTCTATGGTATTAAATTATATGGAATTTATGAATAAATTCCTTAAAATATGGACAGTCTTATCATGAGCATAATTCTTATTCCTTATACTATGGTAGATTGTAAAAATAGGCCATAATATTTTGATTTTTCAGTTTCGTAAATCCCCGAATAATATTTTTAAATTACAACAAAAACAAAGATCGTTAATATTGATTTAAATATGTAATTTCGTCCAAATTTGAATTTAAAATGTCTGTAAAAAATAACTGTGATCATATATTTTTTAGATTTTTTGGTTACAGTATGAACTATTTATGAGAAACTTTGTTTAAAATTTGCAATCTTTAGCTATAAAAACTGAACATTTTATAATTTTTTAATTCCAACGATTGATAATTTTTGAGATTTTGATAAATTTTGTCAAAATTCCAACTTTAAATGCTTATAAAAAAAATCGTGCCTATGTATTTTTAATATTTTTCAACTGATATTGTAACAATATATCAGGAGCCTTGTATTAAATTTTTACACTTTTTGGCCCAACAGATAAAACTTTATTGATATTTATAGAAAAAAAAACTAAAAAAAATTGAAAGCTGTAAATGTCCATAAACAGCTCAAAAAGAGTCAAAATATTTTCAAAATTGTATGGTGTATAGGAAATGCTAATATAAACATTCAGTGAAATTTTCATGTATCTACAGTTATTCGTTTTTGAATTACAACAAAATAAGGAAATCGCTACATGAGAAATCGAGTGAAAATCCAATGTTGTAAAAATTTGAATTTCAAACGCTCATAAAAATTTAATTTGACTGTCCGTTAGAGATTTTTTTATTGATAAAGGTAGATAATCTTATAAGGAATCTTGTGTTTCATTTTCAAATCTTAGATTTAAAAAGAAAAATGTTTACGAATTCTTAACTCAAAATAATTTGCTAATTTTCGTGATTTTTCCATATTTTGTCAATTTTTGAACTTTAAATGCTTATGAAAAAAAATTGTGACTAAGGATTTTCAATATTTTTCATCTGCCTTTGAAACAACATATTAGGAGCCTTCTATTAAATTTTCAAGCTTTCGCAACCAACAAATAAAATTTTATTGATATTTTTAGAAAAAAAACTAAAAAAAATGGAAAATGAAAATGTCCCTAAACAGTTCAAAATAAATCAAAATATTTTGAAAATGTTATCGTGTATAGAAAATGCAAATATAAACAACCAGTGAAAATTTCATGTATATACGTTCATTTGTTTTAGAGTTACACCAATAACCAAAATCGATTTTTTGAAAAACCAATTTTGCGTAAAAATTCCCGTTTTTCCTTAATTTTTGTGTTGTTTTTCCCGGCGCTTGTGAAAACTACTGGGAAATGTTTACTTTTGACCCCCCAAAGTACCAACTAGATTCACTTTCCTATCAGAAAAGGTACTATTGAAGAAAATCGAAGCACTTTTACTGTCCTAAAACGTGATGACAGACACAAAAATATAAAAATATAAATAAAAATATAAAAACATACATCATTGTAAAACCAATACATTCATCGCTCCGCTCAGAATCTAAAAAAATAAAAAAAAAAATAAAAAAACACACATCATTGTAAAATCAATACATTCATCGTTTCACTCAGAATCTAAAATATAAAAATAAAAAAATATAAAAACATACATCATTGTAAAACCAATACATTCATCGCTCCGCTCAGAATCTAAAATTTTTACGAATTCTTAACTCAAAATAATTTGCTAATTTTCGTGATTTTTCTATATTTTGTCAATTTTTGAACTTTAAATGCTTATAAAAAAAAACTGTGACTAACGATTTTTAATATTTTTCATCTGCCTTTGAAACAATATACTAGGAGCCTTCTATTAAATTTTCAAGTTTTTTTAAACAACAAATCAAATTTTATTGATATTTCTAGAAAAAAAACCAAAAAAAAATGAAAAATGAAAATGTCCCTAAACTGTTCAAAATAAATCAGAATATTTTGAAAATGTTATCGTGTATAGAAAATGCAAATATAAACAACCAGTGAAAATTTCATGTATCTACGATTATCTGTTTTAAAGTTACACCAAAAACCAAAATTCAATTTTCTGAAAAATCGATTTTGGGTAAAAATTCACGTTTTTCCTTAATTTTTCTTCTGTTTTTCTTGGCGCTTTTGAAAAGTAATGGGAATTTTAAAATTTGACCTCCTCAATGCACCAACGATATTCACTTTCCAATCGAAAAAGATACTGAAGTCGAAAATCGAAGCATTATTTCGACTACTTATCGATGGCGTAGCGCACAAGTGTGATAAGTGACATTTTCGTAATTGTTCAGGAGAACGATTTTTAAGTTTGAGAAGTTATAACAAATTCAAAAATGTAACGAACTGTACGACATCTATCGGAGTAAATAATGAACTATTCACTTACAACGTTTGGGCATAATGTGCAGAATTGTATGATTAAATTGATTATGCACTTAACTCATTTTTCAAAAAAATGTCACTTATCACACTTGTGCGCTACGCCATCGTTATCGTGTACACAGACACAAAAATAAAAAAAAAACACACATCATTGTAAAATCAATACATTCATCGTTCCACTCAGAATCTAAAATTTTTATGAATTCTTAACTCAAAATAATTTGCTAATTTTCGGTATTTTTCCATATTTTGTCAATTTTTGAACTTTAAATGCTTATAAAAAAAAACCTGTGACAAACGATTTTTAATATTTTTCATCTGCCTTTGAAACAATATACTAGGAGCCTTCTATTAAATTTTCAAGTTTTTTTAACCAACAAATAAAATTTTATTGATATTTCTAGAAAAAAAACTAAAAAAAAAAAGGAAAAATGAAAATGTCCCTAAACAGTTCAAAATAAATCAAAATATTTTGAAAATGTTATTGTGTATAGAAAATGCAAATATAAACAACCAGTGAAAATTTCATGTATCTACGGTCATTTGTTTTAAAGTTACACCAAAAACCAAGTTCAATTTTCTGAAAAATCGATTTTGCGTAAAAATTCCCGTTTTTCCTTAATTTTTCTTTTGTTTTTCTTGGTGCTTTTTAAAAGTACTGGGAATTTTAAATTTTGACCTCCCCAATGCACCAACGATATTCACTTTCCAATCGAAAAAGATACTGAAGTCGAAAATCGAAGCATTATTTCGACTACTTATCGTGTACACAGACACAAAAAAAAATTTTAAAAAAAAAATATAAAAACACACATCATTGTAAAATCAATACATTCATCGTTTCACTCAGAATCTAAAATTTGTTAAATATAATATATTATATAATAATATTATCTTGTTATTTGTTAACTATTAAAATTTAAAAATGTATAAATGCCTTAAACAGTTAAACCACATATTAATATTATATTATAATAATACAAGTATACAACTATATAGGTAAGTAATATTAATAATATTATTAATTATTAATATCATGTACTTGGTGCACACTATAAAAATTAAAATGCAGTATTACACTAATACTAAACAATTATCTATACTGTGTAAAATAAATTACTTTAACTGAACCTGATGTTGAATTTTCTGTAATGGAAGTTGTTGATTTACAAGTATTATTTTTTGCTGTCATTAACAATTGGTATTCATCGTTATGACGAGCATGTATATGCTTTTCTAAGTTTGATCTGTGTTAACCTACAAGTTCTGGTTTTTGACATCCATTTATTTTACAAATTGATACATTTCTTAACGCATCAAAGTTAAAAAACATAGATCCTACAGGATTCTTCATAGTTCTTCCTTCTTAATGATTGATACAATGATACGTACAATTATTGTCAATTACTTTATAAAAAAAATAATAATCACGATCACACGCACTTTACTGTAAAAATGTAATATAAGAATCGTGGTCATAAACGCACATTTTCGTAAAAAACCGTTCGCTCAGTTGGCTGTTAAGTGTTAACAAAGATCCATGCCCAGTGGCGTAAATTGGGTCCAATTTCTGGTGGTGCAGAGGCATATTCTTAACCTATAATTTCCAACACAAAAATAATCCAACTTTCTAAGTAAAATCCTTCCTAACAAAAAAAAACTATATATTTATCCATACATTTTGTCAACATTTGAACTTCAAATGCTTATAAAAAAAAATTGTGGCTATGTATTTTTAATATTTTTCAACGCTACTGTAACAATATATCAGGAGCCTTCCATTAAATTTTCACGCTTTTTACCCAACAAATAAAATTTTATTGATATTTATAGAAAAAAAAACTAAAAAAATTAAAAAATGACAATGTCCGGAAACAGCTCAAAGAGAGTTAAAATATTTTCAAAACTTTGTGGTGTATAGAAAATTAAAATATAAATATATAAATTTTCATGTATTTACAGTTATTTGTTTGAATAACAACAAATTAACAAAATCGCTACATGAGAAATCTAGTGAATATCCAATCTTGTAAAAATATGATTTTCAAATGCTCATAAAAATTTAATTTGATTTACTTGTGGACATTTTTTTTTTTTTTGATAAAGGCGTATACAAACTTATGAATAATCTTGTATTACATTTTAAAATCTTAGATTTGAAAAGAAACATTTTTATGATTTTTTCAACTCAAATTATATTGTTAATTTTCGTGATTTTTCTGTATTTTGTCAAGATTTGAACTTTAAATGCTTATAAAAAAAACTGTGCCTAAGGATTTTTAATAATTTTCTAATGTCATCGTAACAATATAGTTGGAGCCTTTTATTAAATTTCCAAGCTTTTTTACCCAACCAGTGAATATTTCAATTATATATGTAAATGTTCATTTGTTTGGTCAAAAACCAAAATCGATTTTGTCGAAAACCGATTTCGGGTAAAAATTCCTGTTTTTCCTTAATTTTTATGTTGTTTTTCCTGGTGCTTATGAAACCTGAAGAGAATTTTAAAATTTGATTCAATACGACGTCTAGCTATCATCTGACATTTGACTTTTGAGAATTGAATGAACATTGATCCAGTGATAACACACTATTTTGGCGGTAGAATGTTGATAGCAATATAATTTTACCATATTATACCACAGAACAATTATACGTCTATTCTGTGCACGATTAAAGATATAATATCTTTAATCGTGATTCTGTGATACTGCCATAATAAAATACAAAATTCTGTGGATAGTGGTTACCATAGATAATAATCTAACTATTTATGGGGGTTGTACGATATTTTAGAATATAGATAGGCCAGATAGGGTAATAATTTAAATGATAATGTCTAATACATGCACTAAAATAACTATTTTGTACCTCTTTATATATTATATATTTCAATGATTTTCTGGTGGTGCAAAAACATACCTTTGCACCACCACATTTTAGATGTGGTGGTGCAAGTGCTGCATTTGCACCACCCAGTTTACGCCACTGTCCATGCCTATAATATTAAAAATAAAATGTTTAACTTATCACTAGTTATCAATTATCATGTGACTCAGTGAGGATTGTTATTTGCTTGTAATATCCATGATTCGTGTAGTTGTAGATTTTTAGATTTCCCAGTACAATATACAATGAGGATAACCGGGACTATCGAGAACCAACCAACTATAATACGTTTATAATTATTTATGTTATAGGTAGATAGAAATAGAATACCAATTATTTTAATTATTATAAGACGAATTTAGACTATATAGGAGAAAAACATTAAAACAACGAAGATAGTAATACATACTATGATAATACCAATACGTAATTATGTAATATTAATATTAGACTATTGTAATTTATAGTAGCATAGTAGCTACAAACTTATCATTATTTAAGAAACTAAAATAAATTATACATTTTATACTTCATACTATTCATGGGTAAATATAGTCGGTACTAACTAATAAGTAAAAAGGTCATAAATATCGGTAATCGGTTCTTAACCGGTTAAAACCTATTATGTTAATAACGTTTTATGTATATAGCTGGAAAATCGTCACGGTAACCGGTAACCAATAACAGGGAATAAAAATGAGTTTAAGATAACGATAATCGAATTTAGGTTCCTAAAATTTCGGGAAATTACTGGTTTTCGGTAAAAATCGGTAATCGGTTTCAAGCCCTGCTTTTTACATGTCTTTAGTAAAATTTACTGAATCATAGTAATATTCAATTTTATTTAGAATCAATAAATGATAAATAATAAATTGTACATTTATTCAAATACAGGTATTGGTGTGTGACAATCTAACCTTACCATTCAAAGACTGTAGTTTAGATGCTGTATTATCTATAGCTGTTATTCATCATTTTTCGACAACAGAAAGACGTGTGTGTGCCTTACGAGAACTAGCCAGGGTACTTAGAATTGGTGGTCGTATAATAATTACAGTGTGGGCCATGGAACGACGCCATAGAAAAGTATTGAAAATTGATATTGAAAATTTAAATTATTGCATAAAATAATATTTGATTTTCGTAGTTTCAATCTCAAGACGTACTAATGCCCTGGCACAAGCCCTGTAGAAATTTAGAAAGTGAATCTACAGAATTTTCTACAACCACAACCACGTCTGACGAGGAATATATTAGCACAAGAAAAAAATCTAATTCTGATTCAACAACGTTAGTATTTAATTATTAATATTTCATGTATAAAAATTGGTACATAATAGATTTAAATATTGTTAATAAACAGGAGTATCAAAATGTGTTGTGAAAGAAAAACTAAGCGTAAGGAACAATCAAATTGGAGAAAAGGAATAACGAGTTCCCCGAGTAGTTCTAGTTTATCAAGTCCAGGAAATGAAACTTGTTATAGCTTTGTTCGGAAAGCAATACAGGTTAATTGTTATTACATTGATTTTAAAATATCATGTTTGCGTTTAACATGGATTCGCTTTGTTACAGAAGCTTGCCGGTTCAACCAAGCGAGGTAAAGTGTCATCAAAACCTTGGTTTGTTGCTTCCTGGACATCACTTGAGTTGCCATCAGTATTACGTTCTGATCCTGAAGGGTGTGAGACTTGCAACGAAGATGTACTAAATGTTCCTATAGAACTTAGACGAATGGAAGATTCACCAGACTCAATACCTCTATTCAATCGAACACCTACACACAAATCTAAGAGTTTAACTGATATCAAAAACTCTGCGAAAAAACGGATGGTACGATCGAGGTCAAGTATACCGGAATTGGAAAAATCAATGCCACTAACTCATTCAAAACCAAAATTAGTGAAACAAAAACAATCACTATGTGATGAGGATGCAGAAGAAGATAGAGATAAAGCTACTGATATGAAAGATTTGGTTAATAAATTACCTCAATTCGATGTAGGCAGTGGTTCAAAAAGATACAGGTATAAAAGTAATGAAATAAAACAAAGATCGATGAATGAAGAACTTATGTCTATAGAAAGGCTTAAGGAAAAGGAAATCGTTCAAAAGAACATTCAGAGGCAAGCATCGTTAAATGAAGAGCTTATGTATAGCACACGTACGTTGGAATCCATTAAAGATACACTACAATTGCTCAAAACTGGATTCACGAAAACATTTAAAAATCCATCCAGTCAGGTATCTGACAACATTAAAAGTGGACTAAGTAGAATGCTAGGGTATAAGGAAGGTTGTGAAGAAAAGGTTAGTGATGAAAAAAAAATAGAAATGCCCGTTCCCGCATTGGTGACAACAACGTGTTGTGACGGACGTAGAAGTTCCCGTGAAGATGGTTCCTCTGAAGATTCGTCAAAAGACAGTTTACAGAGTGATGCTAGTGTTGATTCTGAAGACAGTCTGAGTAGTTTAGCGTCTGTTATATTTGTGAATGCGACCGGTGGGTCTGATAAGACATGTTCACCACCATTAGTAGAACAACAAGCACGAACAGCTCCATGCACACCCACTGCTAAATCTCAAAGTCAATACAGGTCGTCTTCACATCCTAATACACCAAAAACAGCACCTGTTCATCCTTCACATTTTAGATTACCAACTAGATTCAACTCACAAAATGGAAATGAACCGTATCAGTTAAATTTATCAACAGAACAACAAGTCGACGATGTTTTGAAACCCATCAAATTATCACCTGTGAAAACAGCAATAGAAATGAAGCTCAGAAGAGAGCAAGAAAAAGATCAAGAATTAGAACGTAGAGATCATGTTTGTGAAGGTGGAGATCATAATGCGCGACCTAAAGAAAGAATTAGTGCAGAGAAGCTTAAACAAATTCAAGATCTCCTTTTAAACACTAAACCAGGTATATTCCAATCAGATATATTTTCGCCATTATTGATTTATAAAAAAACCATTGTTATTTTTTAGTAACTGGACGTCATCGTCTACCAAAAGCTGATCGAACGTTTTCTGGTTTACGAGGAAGGCACTTTATTAAAACAGTCGAAGAAACATTTCATCCAGAAATAGACGATATAGATAGTGATGCAGAATCATCGTCCTCTGATTCTGTTAGCAGTGTTATTAGTGTAGTGGTGGAAGATGAACGAAAAATTACAGGTGATTAATGTATATTAAAAACAGTTTTTATTTTTATACAGTAATTTCATATTAATTTTTAAAACTATTAATATCTGCTCTCCCAATTAATTTACTTGTTTCTTTTTTTCCCTGCGGCCTGCTGTATATCTGGCTTTAAAATATTTTGTTCTGCAATAATCTTCACATCTAAGTCATAGCCTAACTTCTTTAGCGTCTTTTCCTATTCAATAACAGTTTCTATCAGACATCAGTTATATAATTTTTCTTTATGCTATATTCCAGTACATGATAATTTTGTTACATAAATATCACACACAAGTACATAACCTTGGAAATTTTTGTAGATATCGAGTTTGACGAATCTTTTGACGTAGAAACACCAGCAAAACCCGAGGATGAAATATCGACGGAACATGGTAATTTAGAACAAATCTGTTCTTCAGATTCTGCTGTAATTAAAAAAGATTCTAACCTTAAAGAATATCCATGTCCTAAAGAAGATCCCAGCCCTATAGAACATCCCAGTCCTAAAGAAGATCTCGGTCCTACAGAAGATCCTAGCCCTATAGAAGATCCAAGTCCAAAAGAAGATTCCAACCCAAAAGAAGATCCAAGTCCGAAAGAAGATCGCAATCCAAAAGAAGATCCTAGCCCAAATGAAGAGCATAACCCTAAAGAAGATCAACCAAATCATACTAACCGATGGAGTCTACAAGAACACCCGAACAAAGGGACGACAGTTCGAAACAGCCCAAGTCTCGGTTCAATACCAAAACACAAGAGGGCCAGTAAGAGTTCTAAAGATGAGCTCTCGGATTTGCCGGAAACGTGGGATGAGGAATGTCAAAAGCATCTCGTGGACTTCGCTGAAAGGTAAGTTTTTACGAATTCCTACTATTACATTTTATGTCAAAGTTATTTATCAAAACGCAAATGGTTTGTTATGTTGAAAATAAAGATTAAATAAAGAACTGAGGGCCGCAATAGGCATGGAGCCAGTAGAAGATCCAAAGAAGGCACGTGATGACGTTGTAGACGCTCCAGAAAAGGTAGAGTTGATGCAATATTTGCACCAGCTGATGCGACCGGAAGAAATATTATCGGATCCGTCATCTTCCGACGGACAGCTGGAGGACGAACCGCTCGACTACCATCGGATCGAGATACTGGCTGGATCTGAAGCGCCCCGCCGGCCCAGTATTTCCGTCGAAACACAAGACTCTGTGGACAAGGTACTACGTAGCCGAGAGGGGTTCCGGTCACGGCTCTACCGCAAGTCCGTTGACTCAGCGGAAGACCGGCATGCGTCCCTGGAGCTGGAGTGTGACTCGAGGCGCGACACAGTTTCCAGCAGCCAGGTATCGCTGCTCCGGCCTGGTAACTCACTTGAATCCAACGACACTGCGGACACACACACCACCACACAGAGCACGACTTCCTTGACATCGTGGAGTGATTGCAGCAAAGACACGAGGTTTGCGGACCGTAGACAGGCTCGGTGCGATGGCCGGTCATCGTCGGAGGAGACGGACCCTAGGCGGGCGGCTGTCCTGGTCCGCCAGCACGCTGCCGTCGAAACCCAAGAAACGTCCAAGAGTGACGACACGTGTAGCTTATCCACCTCGCAAGAATCGCTGTCCGAGCACGGTGGTGGGTCTATAACATTCCACAGGTACTATCACGTGTTCAGGGAGGGCGAACTCGACCAGCTGATCGAGAAACACGCCGATAATTTGCACATTATTTCATCATATTACGACCAATCAAATTGGTGCGTTATCGCCGAAAAGGTACAGGTGTGGACTATTTAGTGATGCGGTATATGGTGCGTTTAAAAAAATTAATATTCTAAGACTGGTTTTTAAAGTAATTTTAAAACCATGTAGGTTTTTATTCAAACCCATTTGGTTTTAGGACATGTGAGTCCATAAATAATTTTTCAATATTGTTGTAGATTTGTGTAAATTACAACTAGTCACATATATATATATTATATTATATTCGAATGAAAATTGTACTGATGTACATTTTTCATTTGATGTTGTGGTGTTTTTCCTAGCTCATTGTTTACATATAATATTTTATAATTATTCATTTTCAATATCCAACTATAATATTCCTATAACTACGTTGCATAAGCTACTTAACTTCATATAAATAGATATTATTACGTCTAGTTTCCATATTAAGAATGATTATACGTTCTTCAAATAAATTGTTTATTTGGGACTTCATTGCGGATAAATATTAAAGCAATTTTTCGATACCACTATTGTTTAATTAAGTATTGGTAGTTCTGTAGGTACTTGACCATTTCGAGGGGAGATGAGGACATGGATTCTCTCCACCAATCGTTTATGCGTCATGGCACTTATTTATATTTTTTATTACCTAATCATAAGTTTTTGAGTTTATTATTTATTATGGCACCTTCTTAAAATAGTTGATATTCCGCTACTGCAGTTAATTCTTAGTTACCGAAGTATAGGCAATGATATTATAGTTTTGTCTTTATAGGCTAAAATACAATTTAATATGACGCATAGGTAGTTTGTATAAAATCTAATTAGTATAGGTATAGATGAACATTTAACAATTAATTTAGTTAGTAGCTATTTTAATTTATTACCACTTTTTTACCATTAATTAATTAGAAAAATTTGAAATTAAAATAAGTGCCTGTTTAAATTTGTCTTCAATTTAAAATACATAATCAAGTCACTGAACATAACTATGAAATAACAATGCTAATGTTATTCATATAAATTATATTACAATACCTAATAATTATAAGATCATATCATAAATAAAATTATGACATACAACAAAATAATACAAATGAAACATTGGTACTGAACATAATATATTAAATCTATCAAACTAATAAAAGTGTTAATTTTAAATCAAAATATTTCGAAATAATTCAAAAATACTATAAAATGCTTAATTATTATAATATTTTATTTTTTCATCTAATCGTCAAAACAAGGTGAAATTGTACAAGCAATTTCGAAATGTTTGTTGTACCTGCCTAATGTATTATATTAGGGTCTAAATGTGTCCATACTTATTATAATTTAATTTAAAATAAAATATAAACGAAACATTACAAACACCATATTTTTAAAATTAAATACGCCAGCACTTTCTATGAAATTAATTTCTTATAACAATCAACATTGTATACACATACAAATAAATTTAATTAGGTACTTAATTAATATTGTCAAAGTTTAATTGCACTTATTAAACATTAAAAATGAATTAATTATTTATAATTTAATTCTTTGACAAACGACTGAGAACAACGGTGTTATTAATTTATTGTTATTATCGTTATATTTTTATTGTCAATAAAACGGCCTAAATCATATAAATAATAATCACAATCTACAATATGTTAAACATTTTAATTTGATATCTGTCTTCCAGCTATATAAATATTAATTTTATTCTTATAGTGACAGTCATTACCTAAATAGTAAATGTTAACGTACAAAAAAAAATATGCAAGACAAATTTGATCGTTTTAAATATTTTGTGCCTATAATATAGTTTGAGTGATGTTATTGTGAATTGAATACCGGCTCTTTAATTCAGACTTATACTGCCATTAATTTATAGTTGTTACTAGGTGTAAGATATAAATATATACTATGACTAATAATTATTACGATATTATAATTAAATATAAATATATAAATATAAGATTATAGGTATAGTAGATACAGGATGTATTAGGAATTCAAGAAAAATAAAACAACAATTATTTACTTAGTTAAATGTATAGTTTAAACATTGTACTTGAATTATTACATGTTAAGAGTACATGGTATAAATGTTTGAATTTTTTTCGAACATAATCTTATTCTCAAAACATTTCTTTATTAATTGTTTATCTACTGTGATTATGACTTAGGATTATTAATTTATTATTATTATTATTATTATTATTAATATTAATATCTATATGTGAACGAATTTATACCTTTGGACTGCATTTTAACTTTAAATCTATTGTAATATTGAATCATGTTTTTGATATACAATAAACTAAAAGATAAAACGTAAAGTGCCTTTGCATTTATCCTTTTTTATTGTGTTCCTAGTTAGTTAGTATATTGATTTACTTACTACAACAATAAGTACATTATTAATAATCAATCTATTTAACCTTATATTTTGCATGAAACTAAATCAATGTTTTAAAACTTACTGAAAACTGTTCGCTCAAAACGAGTACATTTATTGAAATACTATTGTTATATTGTAATATTATAAATATTGTATTTCAACCGATGATAACTTTAGTACTTAACTATAGAGTATATTACTATATTAGGCTATCTAAAAGTGTTGAGTGGTGGTGATCAATAATAAAAAAAAATAATTGATAATGTCTAATAGTTAATTAGAAAGCAAGCTATTATGTATATTAGTTTAATTATAACAATTTCGTAATTGCGACTCATGTATTAATCAAGTATTACTGCTATGAATTTATGACTTATGAGTGTCGTTTGTCCGTGCAATCTGTTTTATACTGTTTATAAAAACCTCAGTGTTTGGTATAGACGTGTTATAGACTATACTAGGTACTATAGTAATATCAGTAATCACTACAAACAGTGATCAGTTATGTACATAACTCGTTACTGTAGTTACCATAATTTATGTTATAATATAAAATATTTATAATCATTCATAAAATTCATATAATAAAAGTATTTAGAGAAGTTTATGTACCTACCACTACTCAATTATACATATATGACAGGCAACTAGTGTGAACATTTTTGGGAGGCAACTCGTACATAATTACGAACTTACCTCATCATCAGAAACAATTAGTGTAAATTAACCTTTTTATACCTATGTATACGATAAAGATGAGAGGAATTCGTAAATTTTTTGGAGCCTTCGAGGCAGGAGGCTACTATTGTGCACTGTGTCATTTAAAATGCATATTTTTTTAATAGTTAATTAGTAATGACTCATTTCTATGATAAATCATAAATAGGTCCTGTGTTATTATTATAAGACAACCAAACGCCGATCGCCGATGGGCAGTTTTTAGAATGCATCCGTGCTTTTCATATTTTTCTATAGTTTTCCTCGTTTACACTACTCGCTAATAGCTTTTATACGAGTACTCGATCTTAATAATATTGGTTTACTATAGATCCATATAAAAATTATAAAATATTAACGCATTTTTAAAAGAAACCTATTTTTATCGCATATAAAATAAAATAAACATTGATATGCTTATTAACTACCTTACTATTTATTACATGGATAATTTTATACACTAAACTATTAAAAAATGAAAATTGTATAACTACTTAGCATTCTGTAAAGAAAATTTTCAACAAAAGCTAATTAAATTTTTTTATTTAAATAAATCATTAAATCATGAATTTTTTAAGGTGACTGGTATAATATGTAGCATGATTAAAGGAGTAATATATAGGCATTTCAATTACCTTTAATCTGTTATCGACACATTTTTTGGTCCGACGATTATTATTCATTATTTAGTCATTTACTCATTTATAACTATGTTTAGTATATACTTACGGCATATGGGTGTGACTGAGTGAAGGTGTCATAATATACAAATTAGGTACCCACATTGCGCTTTATTTTTTAATTTGATTTAGTCAGTAGTATATAATTATCCATTTAAAGTCATGTTATAACATTAAGGTAACTATATCTATAGTTAACATGTAAATAAAAATTACTAAATCGTTGAAACAAAGTTATACCTAAATTATTTTCAATAATTAATACCACGGTTTTAAACGATCTTCAAGATAGTGGCAGATATGAACTATGAATCAAGAAATTTGTTTTATCAAACCGGTGTGAAAAAAGCGCGTTAGGAGTCTACACCATATCACTGATAATAGTTATTACTTATTACTTATTATCCCGCATGGAGTGCGTATTTTTTGTACCACCGATTTGGACTGACGAATTGCCCGATTACCCGAATATCCATAATCTATACACAATACACAAGTATTTATGTTTAAGAATAATAATATCATCTACGATTGTAAATATTTCAATATTAATGACAGAATGATACTTTATCACAAGAACAGAGAAGCAAGGAGTAGCTTTACAATCGAGTTGTATTTATACAGTTTAGATCGTGAGCGGAGCGATGAATGTATTTTTTAATTTTAATTTTTATTGATCAATTCGTTTCAATAACAAAGGTTATAAGCGTATAAACTTGTCTACATTATTCGATACAATTTTCAAATAATTTGTTGGTACAGTATTTCTAATTAATCGTATAGTTATTTATTATATTATTAAAAACGAAAATGTTGCTCTAATCTCGAGTAATTATATTATTAGATCCGGAGCTGAACCTTTTTTCTTAAATCTACCACTGTTTCTATAGAATATCGTATTACAATATCTTCTATAAGACCGTGGTTAATACCGACTACAGTTTTTGATAACAACCAATTATCATAGTCCATGGAAGTTGTAATCTTTTATTTTTCATTTTCTCACCTTGTCCACCACAAGTTAATAATAATTATATTTGTTGGTATAAACATATAATATCCTCCATTACTTACAGACCTAATTTATCACTCCCTAAATAATTAAATAAGCATAGGTAGTAGGTACCTATCAATAAGTACCTACATTATTTTTATTTGCATTTATTTATTACCACCAGGCATCAATAATAAAATAAAATAAAATATTGTCTATACACTGCCATAAAAAAAAGTTGAGCACGCCACTGCTAAATATTTAATGCAATTCAAAGAAAATTAAA